CTCACATTTTTTTGTCACTTTCACCTTTTAGGGAATAAAAACACTGAAGGATTTGGCCTGGATTCCTGTAGAAGTATAATTGCCATGTCAGATGTATCCTTTATTCTTTAAGCATGGAATTAAAAACTATTAAAAACAATTTGTTGAATTATGATGATTTATCTCCCAGGTTCAGCTTGCATTTGCAGTCATATTGTAAAGAAACATGTTTTAGCTCTAAAAATATTCCATTACTGTAACAATAGTTCAGTGTCACTGGAAGACTTCGCGGACCAGAATTCATTCGTCTGTGGAACCGTATTTTGACATACAAGGTGAGTGGATTTGAGTCTGGAATTTACCTGTGTATTTTATTGTATTAAGACAAGAAATTTTGCTATGTATTGAGTTATATATAAAAAAAAAAAAAAAATCAGTTTTTATCAAGAATAATTTTTCAAGCATTTTTACAGGATATCTTCTACAGCATGGATTCTTCCAAAGATGGCGTTCTGTCTTTCAACGAACTGCAAAATGCATTAGAGAAAACAGGTTGAGATTTATACAGTTTATGCTTTGTTCTGGCAAACCGTTGTTGAAAATATTGTAATTTTCTTAGTAGTAGGTTAGAATGTGTTATTGCATTACCTTAAATATCACTTCTAGTTAATGTTGCTGCCAGCATAATAGCCGCCCTCTGTGTTCAGTTTTATGGGTCACTGGACACAGAGGGCGGCTATTATGCTGGCAGTAACATTACCTAGAAGTGATATTTAAGGCATAGATATAATATTGATATAAGATGCTCATTCACACATTGCAAATATACTGTATTTATGTCATGGTTATTGTACCCTAGGCCTGCATCTAAATGAAGAAATCCTGAATCTCATGTTTGTGCGGTATGGTGGTGCTACTGAACAGATCACTCTGGAGAGTTTCATATGCCTTGTCATGCGTTTGAACTGCATGGCCAGTGAGTAGGACTGGAGAGAAACTGTTGCAATGCAATTTATGTTCAGAGGAAAAAAATATTGAAAAATTTAAGGGGGTCTGAATACTTTCCGTACCCACTGTATATATATATATATATATATATATATATAACATATTTTTGTTCCATCCTTTCATGCTCCTGACCTACATATTCTGGGTATTATGTTTTGGATTTATTACATATTAACAGTTTTTATTCTTTTCATCAGGAATATTCCAGAGACTGTGTGAACATGGAAAGATAACTCTTGATGAGAGTGAGGTAATCCTGATGTAAACATTTAAAAATGTTTTCCCATATTTCCAAACACATACAAGTGCTTAATAGTTCATACATTTCAACCTGTTTCTGTGTGTCTGTATTTTAGTGGATAGGACTAACCATGTACTCATGAGGGAATGTTTGCTTGCCAGGAGGTTTGCCAACAAATGCAAGAAGTGTGAAAAAGAAACAAGTTTGGTGATCAAAAACAATCAGCGATTTAGGAATTTTAGCAATCTAAAAATTTCTTTCATTTCAAACTATCAAACTGATAAAACAAATTGTGATGGTTATAGCCTTTCTTATTTGTCCTTTTATCTCTCTATTAAAATGCTTTTTTCTTTTCCTTAAAATTATCATTTGATATACACATTTTATATGATCAAACTTTTCAAACTGTAGTAATTGCAAAAATTCTGTCTGTTTTAAGTGTTTGGAAAAAATGATGCATTTAATGTATGTATTTCCCATTGTAAACACTTGGAGTCACTGTTGCTGTAAATAAAAGCATATTCAAGCAGATGCTATTTTAATGCTAGTTTAGATACTTGTATGTATGTATGTATGTATATATATATACCACACACACATATATATACAGTGGGGCAAAAAAGTATTTAGTCAGCCACCAATTGTGCAAGTTCTCCCACTTAAAAAGATGAGAGAGGCCTGTAATTTTCATCATAGGTATACCTCAACTATGAGAGACAAAATGAGAAAAAAAAATCCAGAAAATCACATTGTAGGATTTTTTAAGAATTAATTGGTAAATTCCTCGGTAAAATAAGTATTTGGTCACCCACAAACAAGCAAGATTTCTGGCTCTCACAGACCTGTAACTTCTTCTTTAAGAGGCTCCTCTGTCCTCCACTTGTTACCTGTATTAATGGCATCTGTTAGACACCTGTCCACAACCTCGAACAGTCACACTCCAAACTCCACCATGGCCAAGACCAAAGAGCTGTCAAAGGACACCAGAAACAAAATTGTGAGGCATCGAACAGGAGGTACGGGGGCATCACCAGGATCATCCTGTGTAAGCTGTCCTAGGCAGGGCTCCCATCACTACTGAGATGTGCGAGCCGGCCTCTTCCGGCGGGCCAATATGGTTGGGGTTCCATGAACTTAAATTCCAGATAATATGATGCTTCAGACACGGGTCACGACGAGGCGTTCCCCATAGCGACCCCTAGAGGACGCAGTGTCTCGTTCCCCTCAGGGAACCATGGTTACATAAGTAACCCGAGACGATCGTTATTATTATTATTTTTATTGTCGGCAAGATTTTAAAGTAAGAATATTTCTCAACACAACATCACATAAGGGGCCTTTAGGCCACATGTGGGTCTATATGGAGAGATCTATCCATACGCAGTAATTTTCATCTAATCGGCTCCTGCAGAGCTTTGAAACATTGTCATGCCAGGAAAAGGTGTTTTGGTGTCAGTTTGGGACCATTGTTTGTCTGATATCAGCCACATTGATAACATCCACAGAAGAGAAGATATTCAGCTGTCTTGTGAACATTTCTAATGTATAAATGTATAATTAAGTACTATACTCTATTTTTAGATAAGCTTGATTTTAGATACACTGTTGATAAAACTGTTGATTTTAAAAACACTTTAATTAAAATAGTTTGTATTGTATCAATAGTTGTATGACTTTGTCTTTAGCTTGTAAATTTGCCACTTTTAGTGTTCATTTACTGTAAGATGGAATAAGATTTTTCATCAAAATTTGTAATTCAATGGGCTATTATTCACTAATTCCATGTGTTCGAGCCCCTGCCCCTTTTAATCACCAATGGTAAAGTGCCTTTATGGTCCTTTCGAGGTGCCCCTGGAACCATGAGCGTAGCTTGTGGGGGATCTAGGGAGGCTGGCCACCTTAGCATTTGAAAGATTTTACTTATTATCTTTTTTTTTTAATTAGTAATATTTTCAACTCTAAATATGCAAATAATCTGGTTATTTTAATACATTTTAAATTGTTATTTTGTAAATTCAAACAAAACATTGAACACACTGTGTTTATACCTCACCGCCTCGTTTTCATATCTGACAAAAATTAAATATGGCTCTACTGACTAAGGTCTGTTGGCTGTGTTGTTTTGACCTGTCACAAACAATGAAACATTCGATAAGTGGCTGGCTGGTTGTGCTATCCCTTCAGGTGCCGTTACGTTTACCTTTGCTTGTGAACATTAATCAGTCCTGGAAAAAGTTATAATATATATTTCAAAATCTCTAAATTTGCAGATTTAAACTATACTGTAGATTGTGAATCGCACTGTTTTGCAAGTATTTTCTGGAGGGTTTTAAAGTGAGAGGCAGAATACTGCTAGATATGAAATCCCCATTTTATATCTACACTCTTAAAAATAAAGGTGCTTCAAACCCTGGGAAACACACACTGGGAAATTTGACTGCATATCACATTTGTGAAATTATCGATAGTAGCTGATCAATCTCGGGGGTTGGGCTGGGTCCGCTAGGCTTGTCTCTGTGCTCGTGCTGGGTCTGGTTCCATTGCTCGTCTCCGTGCTCCTACTGGAGCTGGTTCGCTTATGTCGGTGCTCGTGCTGGGGCTGGTGTTGTGGATGCCGATTTTGGAAAGTTTTTGCTGGGATGGGCATTTAAAAAAATCTGATTATGAAAAAAAAATTAATCATGAAGATGAACATGGGTTTATTATTATAGCCCACTTACAATTTACAATTTCAGAGATTATTACAAATCAATTATTAAATGCTAAAACGGAATAAATGTAAATGAACAAATTTAGCTTTGCATTTGCAACCATGTGAAAACAGAGCAGTCCCCTCAGCACCCCTACTTCCAGCGTCCCAATCAGCGCAAGAGAAGACTGGTATAGGCTATATAGTCGTCCCTCACCTCTGTCCCGTGATCTTCACAGCACCCCTCCGCCACCCCATCGCCTCACTTTTGTCTGGTTCCTATCCCAGTAAAAAAGGGAGGAGTACTCTGGGTTCGGGCCAAAATTCTGAGTTCGGAGCCCTCCCCGAATAATATATCTGATTTCATGTACGTGTGAACTCGTGAATGTCTCAATTTTAAAGCCAGCATGTAGTGCCTATGCAGCTTTTGTTATGTAACAGCTCACAATCTATAATAACCATGATGCTTTTTGGTAAAAATGTAAGATTGTTATATATGAGATAGAGTTTGGAATGTTGTAATTCTGGACCATGACACCACATATACTGTAGGTGTGAGACATTTGAAGTTTCTTTAGATACTGACATTGAAGTCGCCTGAATGGCAGGAAAAACAATCTCTACACAAAGTAAGGGGTGGGATGTATGACCAAAAAAGAAAAGAAAAGAAAAGAATATTCCACAGGTGTGGAGTATAAAAATGCAGTCTTTTACAGTAACTTCCTGACCAACGAGATCCTTGCAGCTGTGAGGTATATCTTCCTTTTATCCTTTTAATTTATTCATTTTAATTAATCAATTTTTAAAATGAATTATGCATAGATATTTTGTTAAAACATGATAACCAATTAAAGAACACTAGAAAACCTTTAAAACATAGTTGTAACTATCTTTTAGTTTTAACTTTTGTTTTATTGTACTGATACTTGCATTCAGACAGGAACAGGGACAGGATAATATGAAAGTAGAAGGTCACAGCTCAATTCAAATAAACAACTTTAACTTTTTAAATACAAAATGTGAGACTTTTTCTGTTTGAATTAGGTTGTCTTCAGACGACAGGCTTCTTTCTCTGAGTGAAAAATGCCTCCTCCTCATGTGCACCACGACAGGACAACTGAACATAATGAGGGTTCTCCTACCAATCCTGTTAGGTTCCTGGGTCAGGACTATCAGAATCTGCTCCAGAAATCTCTCAGAAGAAATGAGCTGTACACAGATGAGTTGTTCCCTCCAAACAGCAGCTCTATTGGCACTCTAAATAAAGAAGCTGATCTGGACTATACAAATGTCATATGGAAGAGACCAGCAGTGTGTAAACAATAATATTAAATAAACAATAATAAATTATATGTCTTTCTCTTTATATCCTTGTTTTAAGGTGTTGAAAGAACACTTTGATTATTCTTTTGAAACAGGAATTAGTGTCACCTGGTAAACCTTTCTTCACTGTTGATGGAATGTCCAGGTTTGATTACGAACAAGGGTCCAAATTAGGTAAATTTGGGTTTACTTGAATAAAGTTTGACATGGCCTTAACATGTAGTCGTCCTAATCTCACTTTCAAAGCAGCATCACACAACAACTAAAATAACCATATATAAACAATATGATAAAAGCATGCATAAATAATCACATACAGTATAATGTTAGATTTCGTTTCTTAAACTGCATATATGCATTAGTCAAGATCCTCAAGTTTGTATTTGTGTTTAGGAAACTGCTGGTTTTTGGCTTCAATCGGGGCTTTAACCTCGAAAGATAAGGAGACATCATTTATGACAAAATATATCATAAACCAAGTCATTCCAGCTGGTCAGACATTCAGCAACAATTATGCAGGGATATTTCACTTCAGGGTGAGTTTAATACCTATCTGATATTTGAATGTTCATGAATCTTTGAATGCATTCGATGATTAAACACAATTCCTCTTTTTAACCCTTACCCTTTTTCCTTTATTGTCTCTGTGCAATTTATCTTATAGTTCTGGCGGTTTGGGAAATGGATTGATGTTGTCATTGATGATCTGCTTCCAACAAACGATGACAAGCTCATTTTTGTGGGTTCAAAAACATCTAATGAGTTTTGGCCTGCCTTACTGGAGAAAGCGTATGCAAAGTAGGTGCCAGTAGATGCTTTGAAATAAAGATGGAACGAATGTACTTATTGTTTCTTGTCTCTAGCATGGGCGTCCGAAGCAAAAAAAAAAAAAAAAATGTGGGGGGGTCATCCCCCTAAAAACTTTTACTGGAGTAGATGCCATTTTCTGTATTCTGGTACCTTTTAATTAAACAATTGATTTAATAGCCTAAAACGGTTACCATATACCTGGCAAGGTTTCACAAATATTAAAGGTGGGGTATATATTTTTTGAAAAACGATTTAGAAAACTGAGACGGGCCGAGTACCAAAACAAACTTGTAGCCAATAAGCAGTAAGGGGCGTGTCTACTCATGATGTGGAAGAGAGAGCACTCAGTGCACAGGACGGACATTAGCCGAGCAACAGAAAAATAGAGATGGCAGATAAAAAACAAAAGAGGAAAGTGTCTGCAGAACAAAAGAAGGCTTACGATAAGGCAAGAAGTAGGACCCATGTAAATATCGGATCAGCTTTCCAGCGCTGGAGAGAACGCAAGGAGCAGAAGGCCTGCGATCGGACGCTGAGGTTGCTTTGTTTCTTCTCGATAGGTGAGTAACACCGTGTTTACACCAGTCTGTCTACACTGGATGCGACAAAGCGACCGTTGAAAATCATTTGAACTTTGTGTCAATACGTCATAAATAGAATGCAGCAGCAGTTTTCTGTCGGGGATTTGTCGTGTCGCGCCACACCGCATCACTGATTATTATGAGTTCGATAGTATTTTGTTGCGCCGCGCCGCTCGTGTCCGGTGTAGACACAGTGTAACATTGGTTTTGCTTTGTTTCACAGAACTAAACGTGGGTTGCGTATGTATGTGTGGGGCGGAGCTATCAAAATAGGGGCGAGACCCTTTTGGGGTAGGGGCGTGTTTGTTTTGGTGATTTGAAATATCAACATTGGCTACCAGAAATCACTTACCCCACCTTTAACACAGCAACATTGAAAAAAGTCTAGAAAGTTGTTTTGAACAAACAACCTAGCAAAAATGTCAGATAACTGTTAGTGTTATAGCAACATAGTTTAAGTGTAAATCAAGCATAGCGTTAGTTCTGGCAGGTCACGTTAGTCAAGCTCGCATCAGCTGACCTTCAGCTGATCCCCATCTACCTATGGGAATATGACACCTATCTAAGCATTCATATATAAGGTCCGTCAGTATTATCAGCAATTTTCGCATTGCTCAATAGCTAATTACCCTCCTCCATCCCCAACTCCTCCTCTGTCAGTCGGGATTCACCCAGAACAGAATCATACCGCCAATCCAAACTGTATGCTAATTGTCAATCATCTTTGACGATAGTGGTCCTGACAGAACTGTAATTCAATGCTGCAACAAAGACTACATGATGCCTTTTAAAGCACCAGGTGAAAAAATGACGAACATTCATTTAAATAGCAGCTTGTTTAGTGACTGTATGTGAGCACACAGCCAGACCCACTTGAGCGGCAGATATGTTAAGATGCTTTGTCTACCTTGCTGTGTTGTGGGAGTGCAGAAGGTTCTGGAGTTTAGTTTATATGGACTCTGTATGAGCCAAGTTGAATGGATTTGAGGAAGCAGCAGTGTGGAAGTCAAGGCTGTAGCTAAAATTGAATGGAGTTTAATTTATTAGGGCATTTCTCAAGTGGAATGGATTTGAAAATTGAACAGACATATGTGCTGAATTAGAGATGGTAAAAAAGTGAGTGAGTCCAAGTTCATTCGCCTTAAAAAGTTGGTGGGTCTTGCTCACCCACATACAATGGTTCCGACGCCCATGGTCTCTAGAATATAGATGTGTGAAACATATGCATGATCTTACCTTTGATTTGTCCCTCTTAATAGATTTGTATGTTGTCAAGTTATATCTATAAACATTGACAGGGCACATTACTTCATATTCACTACATAACATCATGTCTGTGACATTGTAGCATTTAGACTGCACCATAAAATGGTTCTGGCTTTGCAGGGTGTGTGGATCTTATGCAGACCTAGATGGCGGATTCATGTCGGAGGCCCTGATGGACTTCACTGGTGGGGTGCACATGGAGTTTGTGTTGAATGAAGCTCCTGCTTATCTGTGGGACATTATGGATCGTGCAGCCAAGTCCCAAACCCTCATGGGCTGTGCTTCTTATCATTGGGTAAGACCTCACACAAACCCAGATTCAATGCTTCATTGACAAATACTGTTGGCATAAACCATTGATATAGAAATATATGTACTAAGGATTTACAGAAGTGTTTCTAAGGACTGAGAGTCATGGACCGAATCAGACAGGTGGAGTTTTACAAACAATGAAAAGTCCTAGTGCTGTTGGCATTGAACATTGCTCGACCAGTCAGTTTCCAGGACCAGACATGCTATAATAGTAAAAGAAATAAAAATCTTTCATCATTTATTCACCCTCGAGTCATTCAAAACATTCATATAAGACTTCCATTCTTCAAAACACAAATGACAATATTTCACTTTTGTCCTTCCATTTAAACCAATGCAACCAAAATGTTCATGCTTTAAAAGGTAAAAAAAGGCATTGCAAAAGTAATTAATATGAATTGAGCAGTTTAATCCAAGTCCTCTGAAGAGACACAATCAAAACCGATTTAATTTAAGGGTTTTATTCACAAATAAACATTGATCTGCTGTGTACTGATATATAATGTTAACATTATATACATTATTGATATGTGTATTCTTGTTTGTTTTTGATTATATAAATAAATTAGGAAACACGTGAAGCTGTATCATCCAATGGCATAGTTGGGGGGGTCATGCTTACACTGTGACAGGTGTTTCCAAGGTAAGACCATGAAGTCTCCTTTCTAGAAAGAAACCAAATACCTTAAAGAGCAGTGAGAAATATTAATTTCAGACTTCTTTTTAGGCACTGCACTTTCTTTATGTTTTTTTTTTGGGCTCATTATCAAATGCATTTAATTTTTCCATGCCTATGTACTTTTATACGTTTTTCTTTTACATTTATGCCCCCTCTAAATTTTCTGTATTTTGTCTTAAAAAAAATATTGGAAACTGACAGAACCACTGTTGGTTTTGTTGAACAGGTGATGAGTGAAGGAAATCCAGTTCATCTGGTGAGAGTGTTAAACCCATGGGGAAATACAGAGTGGAAAGGAGACTGGAGTGACGAGTAAATGTTGCTTTTATGAAATGAGTAACAGTTTCACAAGTTCTTCATTGCATCAGAATATGTGTATCTTAAATAATCATCTAATCTCTTTGTCCGATCACCTCAAATATGAAATATTATTTTGTTTGCATTTGCTGTATGATATAACAGGGCTGGTGTGATGCTGGTATGACACATCAGTTATATTGTGGGTATAATGTACATAATTCTTTCAGATCAGCTTTGTGGAACACAGTGAGTAAGGAGGACCTCAAGTGCCATGAAAAACTTTCTGTTTTCTGAGTCAGCATTAATGTTGTAATATATGACTCTCTATATACAAAGCACGAATCACATTTTGGAATCACTTTTACTTAGGAAAACTTATCTATACTGCAGGATGTCAATGAAAGATTTTACCTGAAACTTCGAAAGCCTGGATATCTGCTGTCTCTATCCTGATTTTCTGGACAGATCCTCTGGATGCCACTGGAAGTCACAACGCAATTTTGGCCAATGGATTGCTGGGACTACAGCTGGTGGTTCCATGGACAATATGGGTACATGTGTATAATATAAGTTTTTTGATATAGTATTTATATTTATATTTAGTAATATATAGGCTTCTATATGTTATAAATGAAAGAGATGTATAAATAGTGGTTTCAATAATGCCACTCCTTATAAAAACAATGGGAAAGTATAGAACTTTCCCCACTTTATAGACTTTAAAGTTGTTTTCATCTCTGACCTTCTAACTTCCAAAGGCCCTCTTACTGAGCATACATTTCCACCATACAAAGAATGCAGATGATTATTGTTAAAGGTGCAGTAAGCGATTTCTGAGAAATGCTGTTGATATTTGAAATCACCAAAACAAACATGCCCCTACCCAAAAGAATCACACCCCTATCTTGCCTCCGCCCCCAAATGTCTGAACATGCTATTCAACACAGGCACCTCCCTCATCACTACTGGACACGCCCCTTACTGGTGATTGGCTACAAATGTGTTTTGGTGCTCGGTCCGATCCACTTTCAACCGCGTTTCTCAGAAATCGCTTACTGCACCTTTAACATCCCACCTGGGTTTGATTTCTAAAAGACTTATGCAGAAGTCTAACTCTTTTGCTGTGTTTTAGAGACTTTCTGGAAAAACCCTCAGTTTCGGGTGAGGATTGAGGAGCTTAGTGAGGACTGTACTCATGAGGAGGGTGCTGAAAACATACTCGTGTCTCTCATGCAGAACCACGAGAAGAGAAACAGAAGTAGCCAAAATAACTTAATGATTGGTTTCTATGTTTTTAAGGTCAGTATTGACAGATGTAGTTCTGCAGGTTTTGCATTTCAGAGAGAATGAGGAGTGTTGTAACACTTTTTTTCAACATCTATAACTTGTTTAACTTTTTTGTATTTATTGTGTTTGATATGCTCGTAATTTGTCTGCTATAAATTAGTTGAGAAAACGGCAATATATTCCTAAAATGTATAAGTGAATGAGAAGTAAAAGGAGAAATAATACTTTTCTAGATGCTATTCTATCAGACTTTTTTGTACTTCTACAGATACCATTATAAGTAAACTCACAAATACTATAGTCAGATATTGACAGTACAATATTGACTCATCTAATTCTTCTTTAGGTGAGAGGTGAGAGTGGGAAGTTCTCAGCTGAGTTCTTCAATGACAAAAGACCTGTGAAAATGAAGTCTTTCCAAAACTTGAGAGAGGTGATGGGATTCTTCTGGCTGGAGCCTGGAGAGTATCTGATTGTACCGTGCACAGAGAAACCTGGTGAAACTGCCTCCTTCATCCTGTCTATTTTCTTAAAGCATGAGACACACTTTGAGTAAGTTGTGGTGAAGTCAAAAGATTGCTGTTAATTTCACACTTGTATTAAGCTTAGCTAGACAGCTCTGTGGATAGTCAAAGTTCATCATTCAAGCTCAGCATAGTCGTCAAATGGCATTATTTGTTATGGGTACACTAAAATATCCTGTTAAAGGCTTATTTTAATAATTTATAAATATAGGTACAGTATTCAGTAATTCATATTCTGAGGTTTGTCTGTTAGCTTCTGTCATCTAAAGTTCTTCTCTTTCCATCAGATACACTGAAGAGGCTGCAGGACAATGAAAATGATCGCTGATGTAAGTGAAGCCTTTCACACAAAATGGCTTCTTGGAGAAATAAGTCAACTTTTGCCTTTTATTTTATAGCTTTTCCTTTGTTCTTTCATGCTCAGTTCAGAAGGAGTATTTAGTTTGATCCTGTTATTCTTTTTCCTCCAAAGAAATCAGTTTGTATCATTAACACTGCTGACAGCTCTCGAACTAAATCTAATGTAGGCTATTCTATGTTTGTTGGTTGATTTACTGTATAGCTACATTTTCCCCAGTAACTGATTTATTATTTGGTGTACTATTACACTCTTAAAAATAAAGGTGCTTCAAAAGGTTCTTCAAGCGATGCCATAGAAGAACCATTTTTGGTTCCACAAAGAACCATTCAGTCAAAGATTCTTTAAAGAACCATCTCTTTCTTACCTTTTTGTAATCTGAAGAACCTTCTTTCGCCACAAAGAACCCTTTGTGAAACAGAAAGGTTCTTCAGATGTTAAAGGTTCTTTATGGAACCATTTAGACAAAAAGATTCTTCTATGGCATCGTGAAGCACCTTTATTTTTAAGAGTGTACTTGGTAATAAATATATAAATTTTATGTCGTTTATTTATTTGTATTCATCTATTTTAAGATTTCTAACATACCGCATCAAGGTCAAAGCCTATATATACACATAGCCTATTGATACCTACATGCATACTTCGTAAGAATAGATTATACACTTTTTGCAGAGAAAAGAAAGAATACAGGCAACTAATTAATTAAGCACTGTTGACACTGTTGTAACACAAACTAAACAAGTTTAAAGTTTTATTTTTATTTATTTATATAGCCTATACAAAGTCAGGAAAATGCACTATTTAAAAATAGGTCGCAGTGGGTCCCACTCACTCTATTAGTGATGGCCCCGTTTCAATAAATGCCAGGACTGAGCGCTTTTATCCTGCATATCCTTCCTGGACCTGGACACAGCTAGTATTTCACCTGCATCATCAAATTCCTCCTCATTTGTGTTGAGTCAAGACAGTGGTCTTCTCCATTTTATTACATTTTCTTATGTGGAAAAAGCACAACATGCAATTTCGTCCAAATCATATCCAAACACACGGTTTTAACGGCACTCACTGAAAAATACCTGGTGATGAGTGCATCATTTGATATAATTAGCAAAAAATAGCTGGTTAGGCAGTTATCCATCTCAAGTAGGCTGTACAGAGCAAATGAAAAGACGACATATGTCAACTCAAATGGAAGGATTTATGTTTTAATTATTTTTGTATGGTTTATGAGCTTATAACATGTATACAATAAATGTTTTGTTTTGTGTTGCATCTATTTTCTTTCTTTTTATCTATTTTTAGTAAATTATTTAATCACCCTCCTCTCCAAAAATTGGGAAAAACTGTGTTTTTGATACGTAGCCTAATAATAATTAGAAGGGTTGCTTTTTAGTGACGTCATTCTCGTCGTGATCCCCATCCAAATGAACTGACCCGTCCTGCGCCTGGTGCAGTCCGCTCCGCTCCGCTCTCAGCCGGTCAGTCAGCGCCCCCCCGGTCCTCAAAGACAGGTATGTTTTACAGCGCTGCGCAAGAGAGTAAGTATTGAGACATATAAAGTGAACGTTTCAGTATTAGTTGCGGAAGTGTTTTAATTCTAGAATGTCAACGTGTTTTATTGTCGTTAGCTTTATGAATTTTCGGAGTTGAACATAACGAGCGGTGTATTTTTCCGTTTAGTGTTGTCGCGTCATGCCCATTTAGTTTTTCCCATTAGTTTTTTGAGCTAAGTGGAGTTTGAACCTTGAACAACAACAAACAAGAATATTTTTACGTTTGATAATCAAATTCCAGGATTATAGAATAGGTAAATAGTGTATTATCATGCTACAAATGTGTCACCTATTTGTATAATTCACTGTTTTGATACAAAACATTATTTCTGTGATTTGTGCAGAACCGACATGTTTTATTTCAATGCAGGAGTGTACGTCTAAAGTTTTACAAAAGATTAATTTGTCAACAAGACCAAGTAATACCTTTAGCATATCCCTTACGAAAAAGAAGTTTATTCAAGTGTGCTACTAGTATACTTCTTTTAAACTAAAAATAGGAAAGTATACTTTTAGTCTACTTTTTATGTACTTCTCAGAAATGGGCTTTATGTACTTCTCAGAAATATACTTAAAATGACATTTAAGTATGCTTATACTTAGAAAAAGTCTAAATATATTTTAGCTATAATTGTGCTCCTAGAATCCGTGTTTTCATTGTTATACTGTAGGGGGCGCTAGTACACATCTTCTGTACAGAATTTCCAAAAAACACAAGTGAAGAAGAAACCGAAACAACAGATGCTTCCACATGTATTCTAACACGATCATCAGACATAAAACAGCATCAAAACTGTGTAACATTATGGAATAAAAATTAATTACCTAATACCTAAAAAATGAATACCTAAATAGGGACATAGTAGTATACTTAAAGTATGATGTAAAGTTCACTTAAACTTATGAGTATACTTGCAGTATAAAACTACTAAACTAGTAGTTTACTGAGACTATACTTCAAAGTGTACTAAAAATGCTACTACAAGTATTTAATTAGTAAACTATCAGTATACCTATAAGTTCACTTTTAGTATAGTTGCAGTACAAACTAAATATTTTGATGTAAGCTAGTTGTGTACTCAAAGTTTACTACTGTTATACTTAAAGTATACTTAAAATTATACTTTTATATACTAGAAAGTGGGCCAATTTAGTCCCAAGAAGTATTGAAATAGTACACTTACAAGTATACTACTAGTACACTGATATTTGTATACTTACTACATAAAGTATACTTAAAAATATACTTTAACTTTACTTAAGT